AAACCGTGAGCTCCAAAAGTTCGGAGGGCTATCATGATAGCAATATGTTGTCATGATAGTAGGTGAGCGCTGTGGTGCATGGTTGTTGTGCTACGGTGCATGGGGCCTTCGAGGGACTCATCCCTTTGTGCCATCCGCTATGGCAGGCACGGCTTGCACCGCAGCTGATGGACCAGGACTGTAGAAGAATGGCGTTTTAGCCTAATTTTAATGTGATTTGTTTCCCATGCTTTTGTATTTTCTCTTACTTTATTTTTAACTATGATTTGAACTCAAACAATATTTTAAAAAGGGTTTTCTTGAGGTCTCAATATTTTAAACTAATTATCTTTAAATCCTTGAGTTGTGGTAGCTTCTTCAGAGAATTTTATTTAATCCTAATTATCACAACAATGTATGTGTGTTATCCTGGTAATGTCCAAGTAGGCATTACACATTCCAGTCGATGAGTTTTATTCAGGCTGGGCTCAAGAGTTCTCATTTTATGTAGAGATCCAATTACAAGATTGTGGGCCCTACTTTGTTGCTTCTTTTTCATTATTGAAGATTGCACTTTGGGCCTTGTATTCTGGGCTCTCTTCTTTTCTTTAGCACGTTGGTCTTCCTCTTTTTTTTTTTGCTTCAAAAATTGGGCTTGGGCCTATTTCTTTTTCTCTCTCTTTTTATGATCCATCATTTCAGATATGTCTTGCATTTTTTGAGTTTGCTTCATTCCAGACGTTTCTTGCTCAATTGTCTCTTGAGGTTGACTTTTTATACCACTTCCCTTACTTTTTTCAGAATCCTTTTGGTTGCGAGAATCGACTAAGGTGACATTTTTCTCCATCTTTTGTGCTAAATCAGCTTTATCGTCTTTCCTCTTCCACTCTTTTGCAGTTTCCTCTCCTTTGTAATATTTCTTCTTTTCATTCTAACCTTCGTCATCATTTTCCTCTACCAAAACCTCAAATCGACATTTTTGGGATGTAGAGCCATCCCCAGCCGTTGTCATCCTCACCATTTGAGGTCTTAGACCCAGTTTGTTTTTTATCTCCTTCTGAAAAGGTCTAGGCTTGAAAGTGTCTTTTTCCTTCGTCCACTTGCCCAGCCCTTCCTCCAGTGTGATGCTCAGTGTACCGACCAATGGTTAGGTCTGCTCCTTTCCCTATTCTGGCACCTGTTTAGCTTCACCGGAAATAGGGGATGAAACTAGTTCTTTGGTCTGATTTTGTAACAGCGGACATTCTTCCCTTCGATGGCCATACTTGCCACAATTAAAACAAATAATGTTCAAACCTTCATATTCCACATGATAAATACGATTTCTAATAACAAACCATGATTGCAGTGTTTTGTTTAAATTGACCTCCACATTGACTCTAGCATATTTCCTTCTCTCAACAGCTACTCCTCTGGTTTTACATTGAGCTAAAGTATTCATATCCACCTTCAAGGCTTTGCCCACCATATTCCAAAGTTCAAGCATAAAATCTTTAGTATAGTAGTGCATTGGCAATGTAAGTATCCTCATCTAGATGGCTAGCTTACCCACACAATGGCTGTATGGGTTAAAATTTGGGCTCCACCTTTGCACTGCCAAACAAGGATAGATCCTCTGACCTGAAGACAAAATAATTATTTGGCAAATCAATAAGCTCGAAATATCTGTTCACAGCATCCAACTCACTCTATCTCTCATCATCTTGAGGATTAAATTCTTGCCCAGGACAGTAATAACAACGGCGTCCTTCCATGGCAAGTAGAGATTTCTTAGCCTGTCATCTAGCATGTCAATCGTTGGTAGGCTCTCCATCAGTTTCTTTTGGTCTTCATTAAGGGCAGGCATGTTATCGTTCTCCTCTTTCATCCACTCTTTCCAAAGCTCCTCAAAATCTTTGGCGTACCACTTCTCTTCTTCCCCCATCAATTTTTCCTTGTATGAGATTGGTGTTTTCCAAGCTCCCTGGTTCTTTGATGTTGCATTCTCCTTCTTACCCTGTTTTGGAGTCTCACCAGCTTTTGCCATGGGGATATTTGCATCCTTTGGTTCCTGATGCTCTTGCATTTTCTTCACATTTTTCCGAATTAAATCTTCTTCTTCCTTTGAAAGGCCATGTCCCTCCTTCCCATCAGTGTTCCCATTGTTGCTCGGTGTCACAGTTTCCTCACCCATTTTCTCTCGACCTCTCTCACTCATCGTCGCGTTACTCTATACATCTTCTCCGTTTAAAAAAAAAAAAAATCAACGCTAATCTTATGAAATGAACGATTTTCATTCTTCTTGCAAGCAAGAATCATCATGGAAGGTGAAAGATCTGCTCAGGAAATTTGAGTTGCTTGCAAGATTTCACTAAGTTGACACCTTCATTTTTTTTTTTTTGGACAAACATACTTTAGATATAAATGGAGCCGATTAACCTCTCGCTTTGCTTTCATTGGACAAATTCATGTGATATGATGAATAATGCAATTCCATTTTTGCCATAAAGTATAAAGGATCAGAATGCAATTGATAAATTCATCTTCCATTTTTCTTTCCATAGGATGTTTAAGAAAGGAAAAAAAGTCCATTTAGATTTAATATCTATGTCTAATCTATATTCGGTATCTATACCCTTTGTATTTGCGATCAGCCCAACCTTTTTTAATTTTTTTACATAATTTTTTCTTCTCTCTCTCTTAGATACCTAGTGAATGAGTAAGCATATGGAAATCATATTGAAAAAATTATTTTTTTAGTTAATTGCTTGTACAAGGCTCTGTCAACTGAAGAGTTTATTTCTTCTTGGATACTAAGACCAAAGAATAATCCCCTCTAAAATCTAAACTAAGTTGTTACAAATACGAGGACAAGTACTTTGCTATTATTAAAGTACACAAGATAATAAATTGCAAGACTATTTGACTTTGATTCTTCGTCGAAAAGATATTATTAATTCATTAAAAGAAGTAATAAATTTTTTTTTTATGTTTTTAGTATAGTGAACGCACATCTTAAAATAGCAAATTGATCTTTATATTTATAAAATGCACAGGATAATAAATACTGAAATAAGTAATATTAAAATAAAAAAACAGTTGTTTATATTTTTAGTATACACTAGTATGGAAGAAACAATTTCTAAAACCAAAAAAAAAGTTATACTTTGTTTGGTTCAAATGAAATGGAATAAGGTGATCGAATTTTAAATAACTTTGATTGAAAATAAAGTAAAGAAATAAGGTTAAAATATTTTATAAATTTTTTTTATTCTTTCCTTTCATATTTTCTCTTTAACAAAATTTGATAACTCTTGTCTATGTTTTCTAGATTGAATGCATTAAAATCTTTGATCCAGTGGCGAAGCCACATGCACTTGAGTTGGGGGGAATATGCCCCTGCTTAAATGAGAAAAATTACTTATATGGAGATAGAGATATAGGTATTTATATTTTACACCCTCTTTTTTATAGTTTGCATCCCTCTTTTTTATATTTTGCATTTTAAACTCATTTCATATTACTTTTTAACTTGAATCCAAATTTTTTTAAAATTAAAAGCCCACTAAATTTTAGACCACAATTTCAATACACCTGAATAGTAATATTATTTTATAAAAAATTAACATTTATTAAACATTTAAGAAAATAAGAAAAAAATAATTTGGCCCATGTCATTCAAAATCTCAAATTAGATTTGCAAAAAAATTATTTGAAATTGTAAGACATATTGTTTATTCATTGATTTACTTTCTTTTGAAAATAGTAATGGTGTTACCTGTTATCACATCAATAATTAAAAGAGTCTTTTCTGCTATAAAGTTTGTGAAAAATTGATTACGCAATCGAATGGAGAATCTATGGATGAATGATTGTCTCATGACTTATATTAAAAAAATATATTTGAAAACATTAATAATGAACTAATTGTTCAACGATTTTAAAACATGAACTACATAGAGACAATTTATAAGGTATGTAATTATTAAATAATTTTTGTTAGTTTTTTTTTTTAAATTATGAATATGTAAATAATTTTACCTCTCCTGGCCTAGGATCTTGGCTTTGCCACTGCTTTGATCCTTTTCCTTTTCCTCATTTTCCCTTAAGTCAATTCTTCATTCCTTTCAAATTAAATAGAAGATTAATATCATGTACATTGCATGGTTATAAAATATAGTTAATTAAGGTTTTAGGCTCTACCACATTTTCTATAAAATAAAAGTATTTTTAATAGAAAAATTATTATTTTTTAGTAGAAAGCTAGGGATAAATTGTGCAAAAAATAGATAAATTAGGTCATATGAGAAACCATTAGGTTTCTTCATCCTAAAGGGGGATAATTGTAAATTACAATATTAAAGTTGTCTTTAGGTTCTTGGAGAGTAAGAATATTTATATATTTATCTGCTTCTCTAAAAATATGATTAAAAGTGATCATCTAATATTTTATAATAAAATCTTTGAATTTGTTGATGCTCTCAAAGAAGGAGTGATTTTGTTAGAAAATTATGTTGGATAAGGAACAAAACTTTTAAGAAATCAAAGTAAATGTGAATTTTGGTGAGTTTGGTGTTCCAACAGAGTTGATTCCCTCCAAAGATGTCTTAGAGTTCAACAGTTATACCTTGATGATACTCAAAATATTTGAAAAAAAAAACTCTTAATTCAATTTCCTTAATCATCATGTATGAGGCCTCTATAAATAATAGCTCTATTGATGTTAGCTAAACTTTTGATGGGAGTCCAACCCAGCCTGCTTAGGGGATTCCATTTAGCTTATTTAGGAGGTTGGTTGATAGGAAAAAGTCTTTTAAATCTTTCAGCTTCGCTCGGAATCGGGAATTCCAAGTTTATCATTCCATTCTATTTTCGAGAAATTTTTCCTTCGCAAGATAAGGAGATTATTATTGGGCTGGACTGAGTTCTGACTCACAATAGCAGCAGATCATTTCAATCCAGTCCAGACTGATGCGCCATATATTAAAAATTAGTACATACACATGCACTCTCCATGTGCTTGTAAACGCCGTCGTTCTAATCATGAATTCCATCCCATTCGGCCATTCCATCGACATCGAGTCCTCATTCGGCAATCTCCTCTCGGCAAGACCAAGAGCAGCTTGCGACCACCATTCCCGTTCCCTTTTCGGCGAGATTTTTCGTTTCGGTGGTTCCTTCTCTTCGATTTCGGCCTTTCGACTATGGTGGAGACTGGAGAGAAACCGCTGTAGCGACAGCGAATAGAATTATAGGAGCTGAGCGCTTTGATTCTACAATAGTATTATTTGCTATCTTTAAGTTATCGCTGGTAATGCTTCTGCTTTGCGATTCATTCGATAGTCTTTTTCTGCACTTTGTTCTGTAGTTCTGAGATGGATCATGTATGGGTTATTTAAGCCTGCAGAACCCTTTGTGTGTGTGTGTGTGTGTGTGTGTGTGTGTGTGTGTGTGTGTGTGTGTGTGTGTGTGTAAAGAGCCTGCAGAACCATTCGACTGCACATACGTGTGAAGTAACTTAAGACTGGAGAACCATTTGATATACTTTGGCCTCACAATTATGCTTTAGGCATAAGAAATTTTGTCAGTTGTGGGTGAAGTATATGCTTCCGATCGAATTACTTGTTTAATATTAACAAATAAATTTGTAAATGATAAATGAATTGACCAGTTAGCGTTATGAGTCCCCTTTTGTCTTTGTTGTATTTTTTTCCCTTCAAATACTATTTTCATTATGGTAATGCAGTAATCTTCTAATGTTGGCAATTAGTAAGCTTCATTTTCTCTTTTCCGTTGCTTCCATGCACATGTAATGACTCTTTGGATTGTCATATCATCATTTGTTATCCAATTCTGTTTTTGTAGGTTCCTTAAGAATTAAGATGTGACAGTCATTAGCGGAACTGCTTTACGTTGTACATAACTAAACAAAAATTTAAACGAGCCAATCTACCACTTATTTGCTTCTTGATTGGCAGTGCATCAAGGATAAAGTTTATTTCATAAGGAAGTCCAAATGACCGAACCTGGTAGCTCAGAGTCGAAAACCACTACAGAATCTCATGTCATATACCGATGTAAGAAATGCCGAAGAATTGTTGCTTCAGAGGAGAATATAGTTTCCCATCAACATGGGAAAGGTGACTCAAGCTTCAAGTGGAAGAAGAGGAGTGACAACCCATGGGAAAAGGAAAAGCAGCAAATTGAGTGTACCTCTATATTTGTTGAGCCCATGAAATGGATGCAAGCAGGTCTCTGTACATTCCTTTCATAATTCACTTTGTTACCACAATATTACTCTTCGTGCTAACTCTTTGCATGTTAATTGAATTTGGCAGTACAAGAAGGAAACGTGGAGGATAAACTTCTCTGTATGGGCTGTAATGCTCGTTTGGGTTACTTCAACTGGGCAGGTATGCAATGTAGCTGTGGAGCCTGGGTTAACCCTGCATTTCAGCTCCATAAAAGCCGATTAGATGAGTGCTCTATGTGATCAATTAATTGCCTGGAGCTCATCCGTCAGGGCTTCCCTAGAAAAGGGGTGTGTGGTTACTGGTTTTGATAATTAGTAGTTTAGCATGTGATGTTTTCAGGCACCGGGCCAGGCCACATGACATCTTCAAGCTAAAGTTTGATTGAATGCTAGGACTGAAAGGAACATGTGGCGGTTCGTTCTTCTCATATTAATCTGCATTATCACTCTCCATTTCTGCAATTTTTTCTTTCCTTCCTGTGTTGTCCGGTTTTAAATGGTAATAACTACATTTCTATCCTTCCTGCATCTTAGGCTTCAATGGATTGTCAGGACTGAGAGCAGGTTATATGCTAATTTATACCATCAATAACTGCATTTTGGCTCTGTCATTTGATTTATAGTTGAAAGTTGTGTCTATTACTGGCCTATTTGCAAAAGCCTCCACTGGAAATGTTTTTGTGATTCCAGAGAGACTATTGAACTGAATCTTTCCGGTGGGAGGTTCATCAACTGATATTTCACAAACAGGAGGCCAACGCAGAAGTTCTTCGGAGTTTGGCCTTCACGTCCTTCAGCTTCTTGATTTTCTTCTTCTCCCCATAACGCCATGAATTTCGGTGTCAAAACTCATTAGCTTGCTGTCAATTTGAAGTTATGTTTAACTACCTTCTTCAGGATCCACATGGAACCAGTGCTTCCTTATGATTCTTTTTCGTTACCACGCACATAACCATTGATTTGGGTGTCGTAACTCACCGGCTCCCTGATCATTGATCAACTTAAACTCCTGTTACAACCTTCTCTCGCCAGATCGGCATGTAAACCAGTGTTTATGACAAAGTTAACTTCTATACATTTTCCTTAGGAAAAAGCTCCCAAGCAATTAGCAATTCTGCAGAGAGCTTTGAATGTCATGCCTGCTCTCTGCACGGCCCTTGGCCACCACTAGACCATGTTTTTCTCAAAGCAACCTTATATTTTTTTGGCGAAGAACAAAAAAATTCAAATGAGTTGGGTCTTGAGAACATGTTAGAAACAAGGTATATTTTTAGGCTTGAAGAATGCTTATAAAAGTTTTTACATATTGCTTATCAATAAGGCCTTTACATCAATAACGGGATTTGATTATATGATTTTATGAGTTATGGGTCAAATTATTATTAAATTAGATTAATTTTTGTTGGTCAAAGCAACCTCATTTTGTTTGATCAAAGATGTTTCTTGGGAATTTCCTGATAATTCAACTGCATGTTTTATATTTTGAATGCATGCACCGGTATGTTTTGTAGACCCATGGTGAAACCAAGATGGGCGACATTGTCTCGATCATCAAGCATTCCTGGTTATATGCAGTCAAACCCGCCGGCACTTATCTTTATCCGTGAGCCTATATTGCAATTTGCAATAGGTTAATTTCCTTCTGGAAGCAGTGAATATAATAACTACATTTAATATTTAATTCAAAAAATCAAGTACAAACTTTAAAAATAATAATTAAATAAATATAAAAAAAGAAGCGAAAATTATGTGAAGGGACCTAAGTATGCTAGTTAATATTTTATTTTAAATCCCCATAAAAATGCTAAAATTATTTTGAAGGTCACAAGGAAAGAAATTAAATTTCAAAAGGACTTCGATACCTTATTTGTGAAAACAAAACAGTATCAAGATTTTGAGTGAATGGGTCATTTAAGTTTATCTATTTAACGAGTCTTTTAATTGAAAATTCGAAACAATTTTCAAATAAAAACACTATTCAAATTTGTTGTCCCCTCCAAAAGTTATATTTGACACTATTTTGAATATTATATGATATAGTTTCTTATAGTCATTTAGTTAATTGAATGATTGTTATCATATTAGATGAAACATTGATTAAGTGATTGGATTTATGCTACTCACAGAATTCAAATCTTGCAACTGGAGGAGAAATCATTTCATCTTGATCTTTTTCTTGAATACCCAAAGAGGACAATAGCTTTTGTTTTCTAAGGATAAATCGGCCAAGCTACAGATTATAGGGTGTATCATTTGACATACGTAATCACCTACGTCATCTTTTAGTTGCTTTCTTAATTTAATGAATTACTATTTTAAGTCGTTGACTCCAACATTTTGTATGCCAAAAAAGGAAATAGAAAAATAACAAATATTTCTCCAGTACATTTTATAAATTATTTATATCAATTTCATCAATACTATTATAAAAAAATGTAATGAATAAAAATATATAAAATTTTAAATATGTATCTATACAATAAATTTAAAAAGTAATGTTATGTTACTTTTTGTCTTTCATGAAGGATAATTTTAAAAATATTTTTTAAATAATATTTAAAAAGTAATATCATAGCTTATAAATAAGATTAAATAAATTTTTTAAAATGTATTTTATGAACGGGATCGGATCAGAGGGAATAATTCAGTGGCTCTCTTTTGGTAATCTAAAAAATAGCGTTGACATAACTAAGGAATGAGTTTTACTCTGAAATTTCCAGTTACAATATCGTTTGCCATGGTTCTCCCAAACCAAACCTAGCCTAACACATCGATTTATTTATTTATTTAGTTAATCTTCTAAACTTCAACTTCGCATTAGTCGTCTTTCTTATGATTATTTAATATTAATTTCAGTCGTTATATATGCAAAGTCACTAATTTGATGTGAGGCAGGCAAGGTGATCCTGCTAATATTTTTATACTTAATTGATTTGTTAATACATCAATCAAGTCTTTCTCAAAATTGAAGATAATATGATCCATCGATCGGTCAATTGGCACCTAGTATCAAATCATAATGAAATATTAATTTATAGTGGATAAAAAATTAATGGTGATGATAACATTGTTTATTGCTTAATCAATTGCCTCAAATTCCCTGACTTTAAATTTGACTTAATAAACTATGAATACATAGATGATGTTATACTCTCTTTGTTTTAAATTATAAAATATTTTTAGATAAAATTTCAAGTACTAATAACTTTGATTAAATATATTTAACAACCTTATTTATTTAAAATAAAAATATAAATATTTAAAAATATCTTTTATTTAATATATTAAAAAAATAAAAAATAAATAGAGAGAAAAATAATAATATTAAAATAAACTTATTTAATAAAATTTTAATTGTCGTTTTTTATATTTGTAAGACGCCGAATTCTTTCAAAAGTATTTATAATTTGAGATGAACGGGTATAATTAATTAAGTTGTTTGATAAAAAAATAATTAATTAAGTAGTTTCAAGTTCGGAGTATTTACAATGCAATTTCCAAATAATCTAAAAATACTCAAATGTTGTCAACTTCAAGAGAAGAAGAAAAATATCATGTAAGGATACGCGAAGTTATCATATAATAAGATTCTGCCAACTTGCAGTGTTTTTCCTTACAAGTGCGTTCTATCATTCCTTGCTTCTCTGCATCTATAAATTCACCGGTCTCATTTCTTCGCCCCCATAAGAAGCTCATTCATATATGGAAATAAAATAACTATCACTTTGGGACAGATCAATAGGGACTGAGAGTTTCTCATAATTTCCAACATGACAGTTAGAAATCTATCTCGCTCTTTCTGCCTCTCTCCATGAAGCTTTTACACGTCACTCTCGAATATCCACGTCCACGTCTATAATTACCTGCATATTGTAGTTTCTTATTCTTCATTAGATTTGAAGTTTTCTTCATCAGTTGGTCTTGGTCAGTAGTCATTTCACCATATGAAGGCTACCTTGATGCATATATATATATATATATATCTTCTTAGTGTTCAGTTCAGAGAGACTTTAACTTTTGTCTTGTCTTGGTTTTCCAGGTAGTGGAGATGTGCGTGCACATGGACTGTACAGGTTGTGAGACCCAGATTAAGAAAGCCCTTCAGAAGCTACCTGGTAATAAACAAACATATAACCTTATTTTCAACAGCATCAAAATATGCATATGTGCATCACACTTTCTTGTTAGCACATATACATGCAACAAGATAGAAGAGGTCAAGGTGTAATTATGATGAGTTTGAATGTATCAGGAGTGGACGATGTTGATATAGACATGGGCATGCAGAAGGTAACAGTGATGGGTTGGGCAGACCAGAACGAGATTTTGAAGACAGTGAGGAAGATGGGTAAAAGGGCTGAACTTTGGCCGTACCCATACAATCCTGAGTACCACGGTTTCATTCGCCAGTACACCAACAAAAACTATGAGAATAGTTATAATAAAATTAGTTATGAGAGAGAATATTCGAATCCTGTAATAACCTCGTACTCTGAGATACCTGCTGCTGCCAATAATAAGGCTTCGTTCTCGTACAACTACTACAATCATGGCTATACAAATGGTGACTACTTTGGCTACTACCACCAGCCAATTGGTTCATCCATGGTTAATGACAAAGCCATCGCCATGTTTAGTGATGATAATCCTCATTCTTGTTCTATTATGTGACCCCAAAAACGATCTCTCTGTCTCTGTCTCTGTGTGTGTGTGTGTGTGAAAAGAAGCTTAGGTGAGTTAGTTCTGAGGGTTTTACCAAGACCGATGCATGTGATCTTTGGATTTAAAGAATACTTATAAGGGTATCTATATAGATCACTCATAAACAAAATCCTAACATTGATAATGGGATTTCAACCTCCGACTTATAAGTTATGGCCAAGTCTTTACCAAGTGAATCAACCTTTATCAACACCCTCAAAACCATTCATATTTACACTTTTATGTCAACTCTTTTTTCTTTTTTTCTTTTTTTCTGTTTGTCCATTTTACGTGGCTACACACACAAGCACACACAGAGAGGATGTATGTATGTGCGAATGTACGTATCATGAAGTGGTAAATTATGTATATTTTTGTCCCCTTGCTTGCGGAGTATACATGTGTGAGGATATTAACGATGGAACACTTGTGTGGTTGAATATCAACATATACTCTTTTTGTTAAAAAAATATAAAACATTTTTCTAGGCAAGATGTTACAAATTACAAGGCATTTTGGGTCTTTCAATATGTAATTAATGAAGTTTTTAAGGGTGTAATAATATGATTTTTAATCGAGACACCATATCAAATAAAAGTAAACATGAAAAGAATATGTCCTTTCAAACTAACTCGTTGGGGATATAATTTGGTCTAAGAAAAATTAATTTGTAGGTTGTAACATCTTGGTTTTAAATAAAGGATAAGTTGTCGAATTGGGATTTTTAATTAAGGAATTCAAATTGGTATTAATATTAGTTTGAGGAGATGTTGGAGAAATCAATGTGTATTTGAGGTGAATTGAGGTTAATTGGTATTTAGGAAATTATTATGAATGTTATTTGGCCACAAATATAGTAGAAGTGTCAGATAAGGTCTAAACAGGTGTTTGGGATAAACTGGGCCCAAAAAGGTGGGTATTGGGTCCTTGGTGATTATCCATGCATGGACGAACCTAACATAGAGTTGACCACGTGTGGATGGAACCCAAAATGAGGGCGTTTTAATTAAATGCCCATCTACACAAGGACTAGCATGAATTGATCAGGATTGTGCATGAACAGGCAGTTTAAAATCTGCCCCTATTTTGGTTTTCAAATAGAAAGCGTGAGGGAAGCTGAAAAATTAGAGAGAGCTTTGATTGAGCTTTGTTAGGGCACAAGAACCTAGCAGCTTGGAGGTGTTTTCAAGTCGAGCAACCACTTGGGGTAAGTTCTAGGTCTTCTAAGCTATCTATCTATCTATCTAAATTTCCTTTAGATTGAGGAAGTTTCATATTTGGGGTTTGCCTATATGAGGTTTACTTGAATTCATGAAGCTATATTAATGTTGATGAGGTTGTTAGGAATCTAATAAATCCTATAGAATATTTTTTAAGGTTGGAATTCAAATTTAAGGATTTTAGAGTAAAACCCTAGACTTAGTTGGTGATGTATGATGGAATCTAAACTCGTGGAGCTTGATTTTAGATGTTTATATGCTTATTTAAGTATAGATAAGTGTTTCTAAAATGTTGAATGATGAATTGATGTTTGAGGACAATTTGAGATTTTGGGGGTATTTTTAGGACAAATTTTGACATTATGTGGTGACTAAATATTGATGTCAGGATTTATTCAAGGCTTAATTGTTGAACCATGTGTTTTGATTATAACAAAACCAAGAGGAAGGTACTTGTGTAGAAATATAATATCATGAATCAAGTGACAAAACCTCAAGAAGAAAGAGAAAGCAAGAAGAAGCTATTATAGGAATCATCATAAGTATGCTGCACTTAAAGATAAGTGAGCATAAGGAAGACAAAAATTAAAATTCATCATATGTATGCTATATTCAAGAATGAAGATGAAGAAAAGATTTAGTATAATAGGTTTACTTTATTTATTCTTCTCTTAAATATATTTGTAATAACTATTGAGAGTTAAAATACATGTTTGAATATGGTAAGAATGCATTATATAGAAAGTCATAGGCTTATAAGTCATTTAGTCTAAAAAGTCCCCTTCACACAAGGACAAGAAATGTCCACGCATGTTTGGCACATGTTTACATGAACTCATGATTCACATTGTTTCATCCATGCTTGGATTGTAAGTGTTCCACGTGTGTTTGATCATTTTGTGTGCATATAAGACTTAGAGGATTTCATTCAAGATTGAACCGTAATTGGACTATGCTTGAATTAGAGCATCAAAAGTGCAGAAATAGTACTGTATGCTAATTCATGCTTGGACATCTTTGTGTCTATGCTTGATTGGTAGGTTAGTATGGAGAAATGCCTTGGATAAGCTTCTATAATATGATTCATGCTTGGATGTTATTTTTATCTATGCTTAATTGATCCTAAGTGTCAGTATGCCAAAGAAGTAATCCACGCTTGGATTCTATTGAGTCTATGCTTGAATGGATAAAGCACTTATTAGTTTTCAAGTCTGACTTAGAGTAAACCTTAGCATTGAACAACCTATTCAAGCTTGGTTCAAAAGTTTCCCATGCATATTTCACATCATAGAGAGACAACGTGCCTCTATAAACTCATCCACTCTTGGATTAATATTTGCCCACATGTGTCTAAGCTTATAGCAAGCTGTCTAAGCTTATAGCAAGCCTTGGTGCTTCAACCTTCATCAAACATGCTTGAACTCAAAATGGTTCATGCTTGGATCGAAGTGAAGTGATAAGTTAGCAAAAGTGAACTTAGCTCATCCACACTTGTATTATGCTTGTCCATGCGTGAATGAAAGTTTGACAACATTTAGTGCTTTTGGCAAAAAAGTGCTTTTTGTGTCAAAAATCACTTCTACATGTTTGTAAGGACTATATTTTGTATCTTAAGGGTTACAATGGTATGAACATCATTCATATATATATATATAAGACCCCATTTAAATAAGTGGGTAACACATTAAGAGAGATTTAAGAATCATGTATTCAATTCTTACTAATTATTTTGTGTTCGTGTGAAAGAATGAGCTCTCAACATGTTAGGCAGAAAATGTAATATCTACTTTTAGAGAGAGTTTTATTAAATGCTTAAATCATTTCCTATCATCTCTGTGAGAGTGAATCATTAGGAAGAAAATTAATCTCTATATGAAAAAGAGATTCAAGCATGGTTTTCCCTTAGTTGCATATGAGGATGCCTAAATGATCTTTATGACTAGGCAAAGTGATTAGACTAATGTACAAATACCTTAAAGAATATGCTAATCTATGATCTAACTCTTGAAGAAATTGGTCTTAACTCTTGCCCTTAATCATGTTTAAATTATTTAAATCAATAAAGATTATGTTATTAAATTGAATTTAAGACCTAAATGCAACCTAATGTCATGGATATAATATAGAGCAAGAGATTGAAATAAAGTTGCATTCACATGTTAAGACCTTGAAGCATAAACATAAACACTGTAAGTGTACAACCAGGTCAAGAATCAAATACATATCTTCTGCTCCTTTAAACAAGAAATTCAATCAAGATGAGACAAATAAGACCTATATTGAATCATTAAGAACAAAAATCAAAGAAACAAAGAAGAAGATGAGAAAAATCATTAAAAAAAAATGAAATCACTAGACAATGAAAAACTCAAGTAGAAGCTTCATCTCCTTTTGAAGAGTTTTGAAAAGATCTAGGATTTCATCATGGTTCTCTTCACAATCTATGTAAAAACTGTAACATCCTAGTTTTCTAATCTTGTAACTAGTTGCTAATTAAGGGTGAATTATTAATTAGTGAGTGATTAGAATTTTAGATGCAAATTTAATATTTAAACTTGTTGGGTTATTAAATGAGTATATATGGGTGAAGCAATCACATTTTGGAAGGAAGTGTGTACGCGTGGTGAGGATTATCCTCATTGTGTCACATGCTATGACACAAGCTACTTGCACCACAATGCATGGCATGAAAAAAAACCTTTTAAGTCATGGATCAACTTGGAGTTTAAAGGAGAGACAAGAGAAAACATGAGAGGGTGAGGAGAAGAAGAAATCCTTTACTAAGGAAAGGTTTGATGGAGCATTGGAAGGTATTTTTGGCTGGTAGCTTATCAAGTAAGTCTCGTATCATCCTTAACTTTAATTCTATTATAATTTCTCTTAATATAAATTATAGAGAAATTAAATCAGGAAAATTTAAGGGGTTTGTTTCTTATCCTTTAGTAATAAAAAGGTTCTTGGGAGTTGAATTAAGGATTTGTGACTAGTTTAGAGTTAAACAATAAAGTTTTAAAGCCATAAGCTTAAATTTGGCCCTAAATCAGAGATAAAATGGGATGAAAATTGAGTAGAAATGAGATAGAATTGTTAAAAGTAATGAGAAGTGGTAATTGAAGGATAATGAACCTAGAGTGGCTAAGTGAATACGAACGGATAGCTAAAATAGTTTTAAGTAACAATTATGTGTTTTTGGTCAATTGGATTAATTGACAAAGTGTGCCAATTGTGTGTAAATTAGCATATTCCATATGTATGCTGAGAAAGGAAGCTTGTAGAGATGCGTTAGTAGTTATAAAGTCTACAGGTAACCTTTCTAGTAACAAAATGGTTGAGGTAACTGAATAACTTTTTTTATTCAATTATCTACTGTAACTATTTGAAAGTATAAATATTATTGCAGGAAAATATTTTAGAATTAGCATAAAAATGATTTTGTGAAAGTTAAATGCATGAAAATAATTTCTAGAAAATTGATTTTATGAAATGCATGCTTGAGAATATATAGATATATATACTTATATGTGGTTTTAAATGTATATGAGAATGTACTTGATATGAAAGTATGATCATAAGGGTGGGAGTTCACCCATAGGGAGAATTAGTGAAAGACTCTATGGCATTATTCTCCTTAGTGTTAATGAGGTGTGGTGTTGGAGAATTATATCTCCTTAGTACCTTTTTAAGGTGTAGTATTGGAGATTATCTCCTTAGTACCTTTTGAGGTGCGATATTAGAGATTTGGGCCCCTTAGCATCTATGATGCAGTATTAAAGCCAATGACACCTCATTATGTGTATTGGGAGAAACAATAGTCTAAAAATGTGATAGAGCGCCTTTGGCAAGGTGATTTTACCATTAAAGGTGAGTTCAAGACCAATGAGCATGTGTGTTAGTCTAAGGCAAGCCTATAATTTTAAGTTGGGGTGATTTGGAGGTTCGTATAGTAGTGATCATGCTATATGTTATAAGTAATGAATTGATGAGAATGCTTATGAAAGTGGTAATTAGTGGTGAATATTATATTTACACAGCAATTTGAGGTGAAAACCATGTTACCTATTATGTTCAACTATATATTATGCAATACTTGCTTATGGTTGCATATGATAATTAATAGCAGTGAGTTACTCTATTACTGTGATATTTATCTTACCTTCATA